CTCGAGCCCGAGGTCCAGCAGGTCCTGGCAGGTCCACAGCGTGCTCCGGATCAGCCTCAGCGCGGCGCCGTGGCGCGCGGCCGCCTCCGGGAAGCCGCCGAAGCAGCTCAGAAAGGCCACCAGCTGCACCTCCGCGCTGCCCGCGAGCGCCGTGCCGTTCCCGAAGGAGCCCACCTGCGGGACACAGAGCGTCACCCGGGCCCCGGCGCCACGGTCACCGCACCCCGACGGGGGCTGCGGGGCACCCATCCCCCCCTTTACAGGCGAGGAAACGGACGCGGGGCGAAGCCGCTCGCCCAGGGTCGCAGGGCGCGCAGGCCCCCAGGTTCCTCCCGGCTTCGTTCTGAGACTGTCCTCCCCCGCAGCCATGTCTGCTCCCAGGGACCATGACTGCCCCTCCACGGGGAGGCGGACACGGTCTGAGTGATTTATGGCATTAAAGGGGGCGGGGGGCAGCCTTGCCTGGTGGGTAAGAGCCTGGGCTGTGGGGTGGGGCAGCCTGACCTGGACCTGACTCCCGCCTTGGTTTTCCAGCTGTGATCATAAATCATCTCTCTCTCTCTCTCTGTCGGGAGGTGGGATCGCTGGGCATGAACCGGCCTCAGATCAGCCTCCTCTCCCGGTGGGTGAACTGGTGCGGCCGGTGGGGTGAGCACTCGCTGGGTCTGGTACCCCTGAAAGCCCTTCGTGCAGACAAGACCTTTTCATCCTCACCCCAGTGACTGAGGTGGGTACGAGTAGAATTATCTCTGAAGTACAGATGAGAAAACGGGCTGTGGGGTGGAAAGCTACTTGCCCTGGCTCCTAGCCAGCAGTCATGGTCACGTCAGTTACAGAGTCAGCCCGGCAGGCGTGGCGCAGTGGTTGAGCATTGACCTATGAACCAGGAGGTCATGATTCAATTCCCGGTCAGGGCACAGGCCAGGGTTGCTGGCTTGATCCCCAGTGTGGGGCCTAGGGGAGGCAGCCGATTGATGGTTCTCTCTCATCATTGATATTTCTCTCTCTCACCCTCTCCCTCTCTGAAATCAATAAAAATATTAAAATAAATCAATAAGTCACTTGACCTCAAGCTTCAGATGCTGGGAAGAGATGGGGACTGAGGTTTCCCAATCCTTCCCGGAGGTGGCTCCCCTGGGCCGGAAACCAGAAGGAGGGGGAGGAACAACACCTTAATTCTAGTCTTGCCTTGCCACCAGCTTCCTGTGTGACCTTGGGACATCGCTCATCCTCTCCGTGCCTCGGTTTCCTTAACGTTTAAATGAGGGACTGACTGAGACTGTCGGATGCCCCGTGGCCTTTCTAGTTTGGGCCTCTTGAATGTGGAGCCTTCAAGGACAGGAGGCCACATGAAGCAGCTGCGGGGGGATCTCACAGGGGCACCCAGAGCCCTGGCTGTGGAGTTAGACCAACCCCGGTTCAAATCCCAGCTGTACCACCAGCTGTGCGGCCTGGGGCAAATCACCTCACCTTTCTGTGCCTTCATGGAAAAAAAACAACTTTTTATTATTAAAAAAAAAGTAAAACATAGAGCCCTAGCCAGTTTGGCTCAGTGGATAGAGAGGGTCAGACTGTGGACTGAAGGGTCCCGGGCTCGATTCCAATCAAGGGCCCAGGTTGCGGGCTTGATCCCCAGTGTGGGGCGTGGAGGAGGCAGCCAGTCAATGATTCGCTCTCATCATTGATGCTTCTATCTCTCTCCCTCTCTTTTCCTTTTTGAAATATATATATATATTAGAGTAAAACATAGAGAATAAAATGAACTCATATATCCAGTCAGCTTCAACAAGTCTTAACTTCTCGCCACATTTGCTTCATCTAAACCACATTAAAGTAAATTATAGACACCAAGAAACTCTGTCCCTAAATAATTTAGCATTTGTGTACAACGTAAGAGAACATATCTCCCATAAGCACAGAACTAGCACACCTAACAAAATCAACAACGATTCACTTATCTCATTTAATATCAAGGTCATACTAAAATTTCCTCAGCCCTGTAGCTCAGTGGTTAGAGTGTCTTCCCATGGTTGCTGGTTCGATCTCAGGTCAGGGCACAAAGAAGTGGAACAACAAACCAATCTCTCTCTCTCTCTCTCCCCCTCTCTATCTCAAATTTAAAAAATTTCCCCAATTGTTTCTAATCTATATTTTATGGATGATCTACTCACACCAGGAGCCAGCCGAAGGCTTTACTGTGCATTTGGTTGCTACGAATCTCAAGTCTCTGAGCCTCCATTTTGCTCATCTGAGAAATGGGAAAAGAGCAGTATCTGCCTCACACGGTGCACAGCATAGAGATCACACCTGTTCGGGGTTATGCTGGTGCACCCCAAAAAGTGAACTACTTTAGCTTCCTTGCCGGGTTGTTCTGCTCGAGGCAGCAGTGGGGTGGGGTTCGGGCAGCGAGGTGGGGCTCCCAGCGACGTCAGCAGCATGGCTAGGGATAAGGAGGCAGAGGTCCCCGGCGCCCTCAGAGATAAGGACCCTCGTGCTGGGTGTGCCCGGCCCTGGCCTGGGATGGAGAAGCCCGGTCTCACCTTCACCAGCTTCAGCACCCGCACCTCCTGGTCCAGCCCACACTCTCCCTCGAGGGGCTCTTCCCTCAGGGACTGCTCCACGGTCTTCACGGCCTCCAGCACCTCTTCCTTCCACTCCCGGCTGGGCTGCAGGCACTGAGCCACGAAGGAGTCCAGCCTGGAGGCAGGGGTGCCGTACAGCTCCATCTCCGCGGACAGTGCCATGGCTGTGTGACAGCACCCAGCCAGGCAGATATGTAGTCACACACCCAGCTCCTGGCATGCACGCCCCTCCTTTTTTTTAAGGGAGCGCCTCCTCAGTTACCTCTAGCACCCTGCTGGGATAACAGACCATCGCGGAGAGGAAGCCAGGAGCGACGGGGCTGATCTGGGGCGCCCTTCTTGGGGACCCTGGCTGTGGCAGAGGCACAGAGGGGCACTGAGCTGAGGTTGGGAGGAATGGGGCCACCTTAACAGGCTTGGCTTCTGGCCCAACTTTCTGCCATTGGTTTCGATTCTCAACTTTTTGAGTTTCCTTTCAATGACGTTCGGAAAGTGAAATTGGCTTGAGTTGGTCCTTAGAAGAGGCCACTCTCCCAAGAGGTCAGAGTTGGATGGGATCCGTCAGTCCGGCCATCCCACCTTGTCACCCAGACTGCGGCTCAGGCGGGGGAGGGGTTTGCTCAGGGTGGGGATGAGCAGTGGGGACTCAAGTCAGGTAGAACAGACTTTGTATTTTTTAATTTGAATATTTCTATTTGTTCAGTGACAGTTGATGTTGAATATTATTTTGTGTTAGTTTCAGGTGTGCAGCACAGTGGTCAGACAATCATACACTTTACACAGTGTCGCTGGGGTTTCCAGGCCCCCCTGGCACGGTGCACAGTTATCACACGCTCTGGACTGCATTCCCTGTGCTGGACTTGACGTCGCTGGGGCTGCTTTGCAACTGCCAGTCTGCCCTTCTCAATCCCCCCACCTTTTTCACCCAGCCCCCCTCCCCTCTGGCAGCCCTCAGTCTACTCTCTGTATCTATGAGTCTTTTTCTGTTTTGTTTGTTCGTGTACATTGTTCTTTGGATTCCACATAGAAGTGAAATCAGATGGTATTTGTCGTCCTCTGACTTAGTTCACTTAGCATAATGCCCTCGAGGTCCATCCAGCCGTCACATAAAATGGCTGAGTAATATTCCTCTGGACGTATGCACCACAGCTTTAAAAAACCCACTCGTCTGTTGATGGCTGCCTGAGGTGCTTCCATAGCTTGGCTATTGGAAACAACACTGCAATGAAGATGAGTCTGCGTACATTCTTTCAAATAAGTGTTTTGAGTTTCTTCAGCTATATTCCCAGAAGTGAAATCCCCGGGTCGTAAAGCAGTTCCACTTTAGTTTTTTGAGGCAACTCCATACTGCTTTCCACAGTGGCTGCCCCCGTCCGCGTTCTCACCAGCAGTGCAGAGGGCTCCCTCTTCTCCACATCCTCGCCAGCACTTGTTGTTTGTTGATTTGTTGATGGTAGCCATTCTGACAGGTGTGAGGTGATATCTCATTGTGGTTTTCATTTGCATTTCTCAGATAATTAGTGTCACTGAACATCTTTTCATAAGTCTATTGTCCATCTGTATGTCCTCGTTGGGAAAATGTCTGTTCAAGTCCTTTGCCCATTATTTATTTATTTATTTATTTATTTATTTATTTATTTTTGTAAGAGAACATTTATTGGGTAAATTATAGAGGTAGAAAAAGTAATTCCTAGAAGAAATGGGCTTAGGAAACACGGTGTAGAGCTAAAGGAAGGGCCCTTGGAGGTTGAGAGTGAAGGAGCTCCTGGTAACATGCCTGGGCGGGGAGGGGAGGGGAGGAAGGGCACAGAAAGGCACGCCTGTGCTCCCAAGGCGAGACCTTTGCCCATTTGTAAATTGGATAGTCTGGGGGGGGTTTTGGTGTTGAGTTGTATGAGTTCTTTATAATTTTGGATAGTAACCCCTTATCAGATGTATCATTGGCGAATATCTCCTATTAAGTGGGTTGTCTTTTCATTTTGTTGATGGTTTCCTTTGCTACGCATTTTTTGTTTCCCTTGCCCAAGGAGATGTATCAGAAAAAAATATTACTAAGAGAGATGTCTGAGAGTTTACTGCCTATGTTTTCCTTTAGGGGTTTTATGGTTTGAAGTCTTACATTTAGTTTTCAATCCATTTTGAGTGTATTCTTGTATACGGTGTAAGAGGGTGGTCAAGCTTCTGTTCGTATCTATCTGTCCAATTTTCCAGATAGATGTTGGTGGAATCTTTAGGGTTCTTTAGATACAGTCTCATGTCATCTGCCTGACAGAACAGACTTTAAATTCCAGTTAACTCTTTACAGACTCAACCGTTTTGACCCCGTGCCCGTAGGTTGTCATGCAAATTAAGCATGGGAATATTGAGCAGAGAAAGCACTGACTAAATGCAAGTATTATTCATTTACTAATTATCTAGTGAGTGTCTTCTAGGTGCCAGACATCGCACTAAGGGACAAAATGGGACTGGTTCCTGCCCCAAGAGGCACCCGGAGCAGCAGAGGATCCGAACTAGGGACTGAGAGCGGAGTGTGCCGGCGGGAAAAGGGCATGGAAACCTGGCAGGAAGCTGGCAGAAGAGGGTCTTCTGGGTCACTTCTGGTGTCAGTGGACGCCTGACTGAGAAGAGTCTTAAAAGACTGGGGATGTGGCCAGGAGGAAGCGGGCACAACACAGGAGAAGACAGAGAAGCGTGAACTATCCAGGTGTGTGCCAAGGACTCAGATGTTAAATATGCCTTGGCATGGAGGGTTAAGAGGGGGAGACGGAAAGGATGTGCCTAGACAGGCAGGCAGGAGTTTAATCTTGGAGTGCCATTCACTCATTCATGCATGCATTCATTCAACGAACATTCTTCTGAGCATCTATCATGTGCCAGTCAGGAGTTGGGCATAAAGCAGTGAACAGGCAAAATTCCCTGCCTGCAGAGGGCTTACTTTCTGATGGTGAAGACAGACAAAAACAAGATAAATAAAACTATAGTAAATGAGATGGTGATAAGTGCTAAGCAGAAATATAAAGCAGAGAAAGAGGTTAAGAGGTAGTGTGTGTGTGTGAGTGTGAGTGTGAGTGTGTGTGTGTGTGAGTGTGAGTGTGTGTGTGTGTGTGTGGGTGTGTGTGAGAGTGTGTGTGTGTGTGTGAGTGTGTGTGTGGTTGTTCAGTCTTAAGGTGGTTAGGGAAGACCCTAAAAGGAGACATTTGACATTTGCACAGACATGACTGAGGTGAAGAGTGAGCCATGTGTATGTCAGAGGGAAGAGGATCCTGCATGGCAGAAGGAACAGCAAATGCAGAGGTCCATGGCGATGGTGGGCCTGGTGGGTTTAAGGAACATCGGTGTGAAGGGAGGGACATGATAGGGGAGGAGAGGGGGAGGGGATGAGGTTTGAGTAGTACAGGGTGTGTGTGTGGGGGGGGGGGAGGGGCGCTAAGGGTGTAGGACCTTGAAGACCACTAAGACTTTGACTTTTTAAAAAAATGTATTTCGGAGGGAAAGGGGGAGAGAGAAAGAGAGCACAGTACTGATTCACCAGTCAGCTGCCTCCTGCACGGGGGACCGAGCCTGCAACCCCGGCACGTGCCCTTGACTGGGATCCAACCCGGGGTGTGTGTGGGGGTGGGGGGTGGGGGTGGGGTTAGTCCGCAGACGGACTCTCTAGCCACTGAGCCAAACCAATTAGGGCAAGACTTTAACTTTTACTCTGAGCCAAATGGAGAGCCACCGGGGTTTCCAAGAGGCAGAGCATGGTCTGACTTTCCTTTTACCAGGATGACACTGCCTTCTGCGGGAGAGCAGAGCAAACGCAGAGGGTGTGGGTGCAGGTCAGGCGGGAAGCAGTCCAGTAAGGGAGTTACCGCAGCAATCCAGACAAGAGACGTGGCAGCTTGGATCAAGCTGGTAGTCGTGAAGGGAGGGAGAAGCAGGATTATTTATTATTATTTGTTTTATTGCGGAAAATTAAAATAAAGTAAAATTTATAAAGCCCTGGCCCGTGTGGATCGGTCGGTTGGGCTTCGGCTGCCGGTTCCCTTCCCGGTGGGGGCGGCACTACAGTTACCCTGGCAACGACGCGCCGCACCAGCGGAAGCAGTGACGACAGGGGCTGCGCGCGTGGAGACGGAGGCGGGGCTTCCGGCGGAAGTGGGCTCTGCGGCTGCGAGCTCGGGAAGATGCTGCGCGCGGTGTGGTGGTGGCTGTGCCTCGGCCTGTGTGGCCTCCTCGTGGGGCGGGCGAAGGCTCCGAGCCCGGTGGAGCCGCTGGAGCAGAGCCGGCCGTACGCGGTGCTGCGGGGGCAGAACCTGGGTGAGCGGCGGCGGGCGGACCGGCGGCGGGATCGGGCCTGCGCTTCCGCCTCACCGGGAGCCTGGCCCGCGCGGGGCGGACGGCGGGGATGTGTGAGGGTTGGGGGTGCAGGTGCGACCTCGCCAGAGGCCTGGGAAGGGGGCCTGAGCGTGACAGCCCGGCGCCAGGCCGGGACACACCAGCTCTCGGCATGTGCTGCTTGCACGAAAGGCCTGCGAGTCCGGGGGCCTGGGTCTCCATCTGGGTCCCCTCCTCCCGGGCCGTGGGCCCAGGCTGGACAGCAAGGCGCGTCATAGTGTTCACCCCACTCCCCCCCCTTTCCTGATGGGAACTATGGTCAGTCACAACGGGGATTGACATTTGTTGCCCATTTCCTGTGTGCTGTGTGCTGTGCTCAGCACTTTGTACACGTGATCTCATTTCAGCCGCAGGGTAAATAAAGATGGTGTTCAGCCGTATTTTACAGATAAGGAAAATGAAACCCAGATATTTGCCCCAGGTTACACAGCTAGAAAGTGGTGACGGCCAGGATTGGAACCTCGGCTTTGTGTGAGAGCATCTCTTCCACAAATACATACATGCAGGTGCCCCGGCTGCGGAAGGGACCCTGGAGCTTAACGCCTGGCAAGCTTCAGAATCACTTCCTCTGGTTTGGCCACAGCCCTTCCTTTCCACAGCAGCTCACTGGTGCATCTGGATATCTACGAAGTTGCCACATAGTATCATTTATGGATTATCTTTACATGAACTCATTGTCATTTTAAAAAATATATATTGTGGCTCAGTTGGTTGGAGCATCGCCCAGTGTTCTAAAAAATATATATTTTAACAATTCAAGAGGGTCAAAACTAGAAAGGCCGTGGAGAACCCGACAGTCTCAGTCAGTCCCTTATTTAAACATTAAGGAAACCAAGGCACAGAGAGGGTGAGAGATGTCCCAAGGTCACACAGGAAGCTGGTGGCAAGGCAAGACTAGAATTAAGGTGTTGTGTCCCTGACCCCCCAAATTCTGGTTTCCAGCCCAGTGCCCTGATCCTCCCTCCAGGGGAGCCACCTCTGGGAAGGATTTGGAAGCCTCAGGCTCCATCTCTTCATTGTACCCATCCCCAGCATCTGAAAGCTTGAGGTCATGTGACTTATTTACTAGAGGCCTGGTGCACGAAGTCATGCAACAGTGTGGTCCCTTGGCCTGGCCTGCGGGATCGGCTGCAGCGGGCTCTCTGACATCCCCTGAGGTGTCCCGCTTGCGAGAGGGTGCAGGCTGTGCCAAGGGACCCCACTGGTGCACAATCAGGCTGGGAGGGACTGGGGGAGGGCTCCAGGGTGTGTCCAACACATCTCGCTCAGTCCAGATGGACAAGACCCCAGCAGTAAGCTAACCTACTGGTTTGAGCGTCTGCCCCCTGGTGGTCAGTGCACGTCATAGCAAGAGGTTGAGTGGCCTTAGCATATCGTTAGCATATTACGCTTTGATTGGTTGAACGGACAACCAGATGCTTAGCATATTAGGCTTTTGTTCTATAGGATTTTAATATTTTTATTGATTTCAGAGAGGAAAGGAGAGGGATCTAGAAACATCAATGATGAGAGAGAACCATTGATCAGCTGCCTCCTGCACTCCCCCTACTGGGGATCAAGTCTGAAACCCGGGCATGTGCCCTTGACCAGAATTGAACCTGGGACCAGGTTCAGTCCACAGGTCAAGGCTTTATCCACTGAGCCAAACCGTTAGGGCTCATTGTCAAGTATTTCTCACTTACTGTGTGCCTAGCTAGCTAGCACTATGCTAAGTGGTTTCCCCACATTATCCTGCTTTATCCTTTAGAACAGGGTTTCTCAACCTGGGTACTACTGACATGTCGGACTGGATCATTCATTGTTAGGATGGGAGGAGGTGAGACAGGCTGTCCTGCACACCGTGAGATGTTTAGCAGCATCCCCAGCCTTTACCCACTAGATGCCAGTAGCACACCCCTCTCCCAGTCTAGACAATCAGAATATCTCCAGACATACTTACAACACAAACGTACATTTGGTTGTTAAAAGTAACATCATTTTGAAAGCCTCCCACAATTCTGAGAGTCACACAATCGGGGGTGCATGTGACTTCTGACAGGTTGCTGGTTACATTAATTTAAAGCCAGGTCCTTGTATCTAGTCCTGGACCACAGATTAACTTGAGTTACCAATTGCAGGTCCCATTTCTCACTTGAGCACATTGTAAGTTTTAGTTGTGAAATTTACTTTCAAAAACATAGGTTATGAAGTTAGTAAATTGCTTCTTTGATCAGAAGGCCCTTCTCAAAACTCACATAGAGACTGAAACACTCTATTCTTTATTGAATTTCTAGTTTTTATAAATGGTTTTAAAACCATAGTTGGGCTCCCTGCTTTTATTCAGTTTGTTATTCTTTGCCTACAACCCTTTCTTTAAACTGAGAATAAAATCCATGTTTCCTTCTATATGGACTGGCTGCAGTCTTCCTCTCTAGCTTCATTTCCTGCCTTTCTCTCTTCACTGTTCCCACCCCTACCATGCTTGCCTCCTATTCATTCATTTGCTCTGGCCTCAGTGGCCCTCATTTGCTGATCTTGGGGCCTGCAGTGCTCTCCCTGCGAACCTTCATACGGCCAGCACCTTCATTCCATTAAAGTCTCAGCTCATGTGTCCCCACTGAGATGCTTCCTCCCCCACCGTCACATTAGTTTCCTTCACTGCAGCTCGTCAGGCTCTGTGAAATGCTCTTATTTGTGTACACTCTCTCCCCTCAATACATGGAGACTTCCAGAGAGAGGGCAGTTCAAGGCTGTTTCCCCCACACCTGGCACCGTGCCTGGTACTGAGTGGCGTTGGGTCCATCATCGCCAATGAATGACGACTTACAGAACCTGGAGCCGCCATTAGGAGGTAACCTGTATTCCTTTTGCAGTGTTGATGGGAACCATTTTCAGCATCCTGCTGGTGACCATGATCCTTATGGCATTTTGTGTCTACAAACCCATTCGGCGTCGATGACAGCCGAGCAAGCAAGTGCTCCCAGGAGTATTTGGGAACAGAATAAGTTGTGTTGCACATGGGTCAGTGGAGACGTTGGAATCCGAACTTTCATGCTTGGAAATGACGTTTGGTCTGGACAATTGGTAAATGCTGATTTAGAAAAAACAGCTAGCAGTTTTTTTGTAACACTGTAATGCAAATAATTGGCCACTGAGTCTGCTTCTAGTATTTTTTTTTGTATGTGGCTTACTTGTTAGTAAGACCTAAAGCTCAGTGTAAAGTTCTGTGTAAAAATGGAGTGCTCATGAGAAAGGAAACACAGTAACCTTGTGATATAAAACCACATTGGGAAGGACTAGTCATTAATGTCTGAAAAGATGAAGACGACATAACATGTAGACAGACATTCAGTACTTAAGCAGCACTGGTGACAATAGGTTAAGAATCACAACGTTTGTAATTGCACTGAGTTGGCACAGAGTACTCTGGTTGCAAAGCAGTGTCCACTGTGGGGAGCTTGGGCCGTCATCCCTCATCCAGCATCGGCTCTGCACTCAGGTGCCCCCACTGAAGTCAGGGTCACAGCAGGTAGGCCAATGGTCATGTGTACGCTTGGGCTGGAAGGCTCGGGTTGGACTGAAAATGTTTCTGGTTGGCCCATCTGAAAGAGAACTACTTGCTGCTCAAACGTGCGGATCTCCCTGGTACTGCACTTAAATCTCCAGCCCTTGGCCTGAAACTTGCGGCAGCTTTTCAGATTTGGAATCTAAGAGACTTAGCAGAAACGCTTTCTCTCGGCCCTGGGTGGGAAGGACTCACTGTACTAGGCAGAGTGGCGAGTGGGTATGTGTTTACACAAACTTAATTTCAGCTTTGGAAACGCTGCTGTTTGTTTGCACTGTTGGTGAACTGGATCTTCCCCCTATTGAAATGATACTTTTGTGCTTACAATGTGGTCATCAGTATTTATTTTATCTTAAAGGTGCTAAGTTTAATTGTGTTGTTAAATTGAAATGCGTATCTTGTGCTCCAAACACAGCATGAGTTTTTTTTTTTAAACCTGCACTTAATGTGAAATAACTGATGTGGGATCCTGTAACTCTTTGACTTAAGGATTTTGTTTGTAACCTTAACATTGAGGCATTCAAATGTTAACTGTTCTGTGCTTTTCAGCAAATGTCAACTAAAATTAAAGTTAAATCTTACATCCTGTTTTACTCCTAATTATGTTCCAAAATGCAGGTGCGTATTTGACTCAAATCTCTTAAGAAAGCACTGTGAAGTGGAATTTTAAATTCATATGTGAAATAATACTATTTCCTCAGGGCAAGGCATTATTTCTGAAAACAGCCAGGATTAATCTCTCAGGCTGGCCAGGGGTCTGGAGATGTGGATTCTTGTCCTAGCTCCAGTCACAAACTGCCTTAACTTCCTCAGAGCCTCCGTTTCTCATCTTTGAAATGGTGATATACACACTTTTTCTTAAATATTGTGAAGATTAAATGATTTGAAAACTAACTCAAATGAAGGTGGGATTACTAGTTAGCCTGTCCCGTAGAAATCTGTGTTACTGGTTGGAAGGAGTTGTGGGTGGGATGCTGAGACTGGCATTGACAGGGTTAAGTCCCACCTCATCTGGAACACATTTTGATATGCTGCCAAGAAATTCATTGCCACTTTTAGGATTTTATTTTATTTTGTTAATCCTCACCCGAGAATATTTTTCCACTGATTTTTAGGGAGAGTAGAAGAGAAAGGGAAAGAGAGAGAAACATCGATGTGAGAGAAACTCATCAATTGGTTGCCTCCTGCACGAGCCCTGACCAGGGACCAGGCCAGGAGGAGCCTGCAACCAAGGTACATGCCCTTGACCTGGAATCGAACCGGGGACCCTTCGGTCCACAGGCCAACACTCTATCCACTGAGCCAGACTGGCCAGGGCCACTTTTAAGATTTTAAAAGGAAACAGTAAGAACTTGCCAGCTTGCCGTTTGTTCAGGAATCACCAGTCAGGTAGTAGGACCATGTTCATTTTCTGAAAAAACTTTGCAGTAGTTCACATACAAATCCAAACCCAGCATACATCCTCATTCCATGTTACCGTCTGTTCAGGATGAGACTTCAAGCTCAAGTGAGAAAATCATTATTTGTAGACAAGGAGGCTTATTACAGAGAGACAAGTAAAGATAAAAACTTCAGTTCTGGGAGAGAGAGAATTATACTGAAAAGCTTTTTAGAGCAGAGACTGACCAGCTAGAACCTTCCGGTAGAATTCTTTTCCTGGCCATTTTAGGGAGCACGGGAGACCCTAGACCTCATAAAGTGAACTGTACTCAGAATGCCTACCGAGTGCCCACATGAACACACAGAATTGACACCAATCATAAAGAAGTTCCTTTAGCAAACACGAATCCTAGTTTCCTTTAAAGTTGGGATGAAGACGTCTGCAAGTGCTGCTTGAGATTAGGGGCTCCGGAGTCTTAGGAGGACTTTTTCCAGCTGGATCTGTTTTAAATCACACATGGGCCTAGCTGGGTTTTGAACTCCATCACTTACTGTCTTTGAAGTTGTCATAGTTCAACTTATCTTTGATGTCATCTGTGTTCAGCAGGGAACTTAGTTTTTAAATTAAATAATCCATAGGTATTTCATTCCCACCAGAACAGTTTTCTTCATAGTGCCCCACCGGGCCATTTAGCCTGCCAGCTAATTTACTTCACCCTGTCAATGCCAGTCTCAGCATCCCACCCACAACTCCTTCCAGCCAGTAACACAAAAGCAAAGCAGCACCTTCATTTTCCCAAGGTCTCATTTCTGAAACCATTTTTTTTTTTTACAAGTCATTGCCTTGTTTTAATACCAACATATTTGGTGTAGGGTAAGTCTTAAAGCCCTAATTATCAACTGAACTTCTAAGAACAGCCTCAAAAAGCACTTTGGCTTCAACCTGGCAGGTGTGGCTGTTGGAATGTCCTACCGTACACTGAAAGGTGGCAGGTTTGATTGTGGGTCAGGGCAAATACCCAGGTCTCAGGTTGACCCCCCAGTTGGGGCGTGTATGGGAGGTGGCCGGTCAATGTTTCTTGCTGCCTCTCTAAAGCAATGAAAAGCATACCCTTGGGTGAGGATAAAAAAAAGAATAAAAAAACCTTCAGCTTCAAAGGAGAGCATCGTCAGTCACCTTAGAGAGCTGATGCTGGCTTGGTTTTCCTTACTCCACAAGAGCCAGTCCATCTCCAGGCTAGACCTACATGGCAATGCAGCTGCAGAGGCCTCAGCAGCCCTGACACTGGCTTGCTTTCAGTCTCCATTTGAGACAGGGAGCTTTGGGCGTGTGGACTATGATTGGTCAGGAAGGCGGGGAGGAGCATGTCACCTTATAATACACAGCTGAGCACTGGGAGGGCATTCTGATGTTCCCATATCGCACGAAACAAAGCGTGGGTTCATTCAGTGACTAGAAAAACAACCTGAGACAGACTCAAAGGCTGTTAGGATGCTGTACCAGCACCCTCCAAGGCAGCGGTTCTCAACCAGTGGGTCGCGACCCCTTTGGCGGTCGCCTAAGACCATCCTGCATATCAGATATTTACATGACGATTCATAACAGTAGCAACATTACAGTTATGAAGTAGCAACGAGAATAATTTTATGGTTGTGTCACAACATGAGGAACTGTATTTAAAGGGCCAGAAGGTTGAGAACCACTGCTCTAAAGGAGCAGTCTATTTGCATTTTAAGAGAGTGAACACATAAATGAAAGACACTGCAGGCAGGTTGACAAAAAGCTCAGTCCCTTTTTAATTGACTTCCTGGGAGAAAGTCAGAGACACCGGGAAGCAGAACAATGGAATGCAAACATAGGAGATTACCTAACTGCAGCCATTCCCAAGTCGTGTCCTCACTCAAGGTAAATATTCAGTAAACAAAATGCCAAGGTATGTATTTGAAACAAAGGTGATGCTGCATATACTGGCCTGGTGTGCAGAGAAGGAATTTTGGTCAGACCATGACAAGAAAGACAGATGGTTATATTGAATCAAAAGCACATTTCTTTGTGGCTAGGAACATTTTACTGGCAATGCTAACTGTATTACAGACTTTAACTGGAACGTAATTCATGTTTCTCTTCCCATCCCAAAAGAAGCCCAGCACACAGGAAACTGATGTAAAACAGGAGGATATTATTTACCAGGTTATCTCAGTGCAGCCTGTGAGCATGAATACACAGCCGGCCAGAGTGAGGGGACCCTCAGCTGTATGTCTGTGATGGTTATTTACAGAAGGGTTAGACAAAATAGTTAACTACTGAAGGTATCCAAAAGAGGCCTGAGAAATCTGGTTAAAATGTATAACCTTGTATTGCTACTGATGGGAATAGTTTTTATATCTTTTAAAAATAATAAAAAGATTCTGTTAAAAAATATATTTATCAAGAAAGATGATTTGAACTCTAAAAAGCAATGTGGAATCATCACTTTCCCTTCTGAATATAGAGCCATTGAGTTCCATTTGTAGCTCCCTGTCTAACCCACCCTTCTCCTCTAGCGAGCTGAGGACGGGCAGCGGGTGGGTCTTCCTGGCCCTCCACTAGGGACGGGCACACACGCGTCGTTTGGTTCTATGCTGTCTGGTATTTTGGCCGGCCTGCCCACTGCAAGAACAAAGCTCAGTTCCAGCTGCTCCTTCAGGGCCAGGATTAGCTGCCTTGGTTTTAGCCTGGAGGATCCTACTCTCAAAGGAACTGCCTTTAAAAGTTCAAATCAGATCCCTCAATGAATGAAGTGAGGTGGTTTGAAATTATTAGTAATTTTTAAGGCTAAGGCAACATCCATGGTCATTAGTATATCTTAATTTGATGCAAATAGTTAACCCTAATCTAAAATAGATCCTGTACACATCTCCTCTTTAACTTTAGCTAGGGATGGAAAGAATGGAAGAAGGTGGAGATGGAGGAGGAACAGTGATGGTGGCCTAGAAACCCTGTATAAAGGTAAAAATAAAAGAGTAAATCGGCACAGATTATCCATTTCTTTGGTGAACTGTAAAGTATCATAAATTTTCATAAACCACACTCTACAAAGGCTGCTGCTCTCATATATAAAAGCACCCTGACTCTGCAATAACTTGTTTTGTTATCACTCCTTGGTAAAAACGAACCTACAGATCTGCGGGGATTGGGGTTTTTTGTCTAAAGCTGGTAGTAAAAATGTGACCTGCAAGCCAACACAGCTCATGGAAAGTGACGATGCTCCCCTCCCCTTAGTCTGGAGATGTGACCTGCTGGTCCCCAGTCCCTTGACCGGGGAGTGTTGTGGATGGACCTGGGGGTCCCTGGTTCTGCACCTCTGCGTAAAGAAGGGCAGCTGCCATCCGCTGTGCACATGCGAGGTGCAGTCAGTCCCTCAGCCCCAGGGCCCTGGTAACGTAGCACCCGCGTGCAGCCCAGAGCTCTGCCTTGTGCAGCTGTGGGCAGAAAGGTCTATTTCTCAGTGAGAGACAGCTGCAAGACCTGCTGGAGCTCCGCCTCCTCCTCCCGCAGCCGGAGCTCCTGCTCCTCCAGCTCTTTGGCAGAGAGCTCCATGGCCAGCTGCAAATCGCTATCAAAATGGCTTGTCTCACTTGAGGCACCAGAGTATAGACCTTCTGAGCTGGTGAGGAGGCTCTCTTGGATGGCCCTGGGTTGGAAAAAGTGGGAAGAAAAGAAACGGATTATTATCATCATCACGGCAATGGTAGCAACTACATTCTTAACTGCTTACCAAGCGCACACTGTGTGCGTGCATAATGCCATTCGATCCCCCATGACTCTGGGGGACAGACTGTATACAGGTGAGAAGTCTGAGGTTCAGAGAGGTTAAGATAACTACTAAGTGATGGGGCTAGGAATTAAACTTGGATCTATTTGAAGCAAAGCCCAAGTTCTTCAACAGGCTTTCATATGCCCAAAGTTTAGGGAAATGCTTTGTAAAATCAATCAATCTGGTTTCCTCCATTTAAAAATAAAGGAAGAAAATTTAATAATCTCTGTAGCTCTTCCCCCAAATGCCATCTTTAAAATTACATAAAGAAAAAAAAATTATATAGAAGTCCCACAGAGGGCAGTTAGACCCTGTGTGACCACACATTCTTGGCAGATCAGGCAAATCAGAAAAGACCTCCTCAGGGCCTATCGGCCAATGGCACTGGCCTGGGAACTAGGCAGCCGTGCT